ATAGTCTCCGATTCTATTCTGCCTCATTCTCCTCTCTCCTCTGCTTTCCCCACTTACTTTCTCAATCAGTTGTAAATTAAAGTTTGTAAAGTTCTTTATGTTATATTGCAAGGCAAGATATGGGTGATTTTATTTGCTCCCCTTGTTCATCTGTGTTTTCTGTTTGTTTTTTGAGGCTGTGTGGAGGGATTCTAATTTAGGCTGCAGCCATTATCCTGTGGACCTGGAAGCTTCTCATAGATTTTTATGAGAACTAAATGAGCCAATCTATGTGAAAGTAAAGATCGCTGATTACCCTTTGGTTCAAAGACTTCAACAATTTGTTTTCTTGCATTTAGAGATAACACTTTTTTTTTTCTAGCTACTGTCTATTAACCCTTTCATTGGGAAGGATTTTGCCATCTTCTGCTTCCTCACATGTCTTCTTTGCTATGTAGAAATCTTCTGATTTCATGGGTAGAAAGATGCAAGAGGTTCAGGGTAGGGTGACAGCTCCATGGGTTTCCTTGAAGACAGCAGGAAGAAGTGAAGAAACTAGAAGAGAACGCACCAAAGAGGAAGATAAATTGATTTTTAAAAAAGAAAATAGAGAGGAAATAAACGGTCAGTTCTCTTGTGTTCTACTCAGATTTGTTCCAGCTACAGGCAAGGCTGAATAGTCCACTGGTTTTCAATGCACCAACTAGCCTTTTGAGCAATAGCTATATTTAGTTAACTCAGTCTTTCAGGAAGGCATTGCACTTGAACTCTAAGGAATAACAATACATGATATATAGTCAGTGACCTCAGTGAAGGTTTGAAATATATGAGAAAAAAAAGCACTGGTTTAACATCATGGTCACAACAGCCCAAGAACTTGGACTTTTCGCCGTCTGCATTTTAAACGTGATAAACAATGAAGATTCAGATTCAGAGAGGTTGAACAAATGGTTGAAAGTCACATAATTTCAGAAGGACAGAGCAGTGACTTGATTCAAAGGTTTTTTTGCTCCAGTCGCACCCACTATAATGTAATTTAAGAAGATGAAGACGGGCAAGAAGAGTGGCTGTAATAGATACATTCTACATGCTTAGAGGATGAGAAAGCTACCTGTGGTCGGAGTGATCTGAACAGACATTTCAGTAAACGTTAGATGTGTAGATTCCTCTCCAGTGCAGGGCAGTGTCTGTATGTTCATAACTCCAGATGCTGGCTGGACCAGCAACGGAGGGGATACTTAAGTCCTCCTCTGCTCTGTGACTTAACCAGAAGTGGCTCTTCCTTCTTAAAAAAAAAAAAAGAAACCCTGTCTTTGCACAGAGACCTGCAGGCAGGAGCCCCTTTTAAATTACAGATTGTAATTAATATTATCACTGAGTCCTGAGAGGGGAGCTTGATTGAGAGTGCAGGAATAGAGGGTGACAAGATACAGATTGCCTGTTATCTGATCAGGAAGGCTAGTGTTTGAATTCACTTGGAGGAATAAAGAAGGTCTATGCACTGATCCTTTGAGCCAGATAAACACCAGCAGGGTGTGAAGTGGTCTTGGAATGACCTAAGGCTGAAGCTGTTATGAGAACAGGGAGGTTATAAATATCCGAGCAGCAGGGGATGGAAATGGTTCTAATGGAATTAGATGAGATTATTGACAGGACCTGGCTCTGGAAGTGTGTCTCCTCAACTCTCCAGCGGTCTGATTCCTGTTAAACCCATTATTTGAAATTGAGAAGGGGGGAAGAGAACTAAGGAATGACAAAGAAAAGTTGGTCAGCCCAAAATTTAAGCAAAGTGCAAGTAAGGTCCATTTTTGCCTCCAGGTTTAGAGACACAGAATATTAAGTCAGAAAGGCCACAGAGGAAAATGACTCCATCATTTTCATTTTGCAGATGAAGAAACAGAATTCTCACGCTGAACCCCTGCCATACCCCCCCCCCCCAGATAAAATCAGAACACTTGGCCCAGTGACTTAATTGAAACCAGACTCCTAAGCTATTAAAGGCCATTCTTTTCAGGGTAGCTCTTTGTGGATTACTCCAAAGTGGAAGATAAGAGATGGAGAGAAAAAGCTCAGAGCACCAGAAATAGCTGCATTTGAATCTCACCGTCATTACCTATTTTGAGCTGTGTGATTGTTAGGGAAATCACTTATCTACCTTGAGCATCGTTTTTTCACCCATAAAGTCTAGATAGTAATCCTTACCTTGTAGAGAAAGCTAAGCTGAAGGAGTTACCAGCTCTGGCTGGAGAAGGTCACAGAAACAGTGTATCTTAATCCATTCATCAAAGACTGGTTGAGGCATTGAGAAAGGAAAGGGGGCAGTAGAGAATGGAAGTTTCAGGCAGAGAAAATTCAGAAGCAGTCATGACTGAGAGAAAATACAAGGCCCCGGGGGATAGTACCCTGAGGTTGAGATTTCTGTGCCATAATAGGAAGTTTAGACTTTATCTGGTGGTAGTAGTAAGAGGAGGAGGAGGAGAAATAGAAAAACATTTATTGAGTGCACATTACAGATAAGGCACTGTTCTAAGAATTGCACCTTTATTGTTCCATTTAATCCTTACAATAACGCTGTCAGGTAGGTACTCTGGTCTTCCGTTGTACAGATGAGAAAACTGAGACACAGAAAGGTTATTTGCCCAAGGTCATATAAAGAGCAAGTTCAGAATCTGATTATTTATTTCCTCCCTATTGTCTTTTTTTAAAAATCAATTTATCTTCCTCTTTGGTGCGTTCTCTTCTAGCTTCTTCGCTTCTTCCTGCTGTCTTCAAGGAAACCCATGGAGCTGTCACCCTGCCCTGAACCTCTTTCACCTTTCTACCCATGAAATCAGAAGATTTCTACATAGCAAAAAAGACATGTTAGGAAGCGGAAGATGGCAAAATCCTTCCCAATAAAAGGAAATCATAATATTTATTACAAATATATACATATATGTTACATATATATATATGTAAAAGAAGGCATGAACTTGAAAAAAGAAAGCCTGGTCCTGGGGAGAGGTGGAGGAAGCAATGAGGAATTCATTATAATAATCCAGGCAAGAAATAATGGCAATTAGAACAAATGCAGTGGAGGTGAAAATGATGAGATGAATGACTGACAGAGATATACTTAGGAGATAAACTTGACAAACGTGATAATGCAAAGTGAGAAAGATAGCCATCAAAGATTACTGCGAGAGGAGGAAACTGGGTGGATGGTTATGACAATGTAAACCCATAAGAGTAGTAATATTTTAAAACAGTTGTTTGCAAACCTTTAATTTGAAAGGAAACCAGCGTTTCTCAACTGAGTGACCTCAAATCCGAAGGGCAAAGAAGTCTACAAAAATAAACAAGTGATGTTTTCCCACAGACTAAAAGACTATGCAAATAGGGAAGGAAATAATCCACCTTTGCAACACTGGCATTTTACAATTACAGACTAGAGACAAGGAGGGAGTGTGGTGGTGATGGACCGATATTTGGAGTCTGGATTAAAAATAATATGTTCGAGGATGTTGCCCTTTTCTGTGCACATGTATGCCCGCACTTACATGCTACACTGGGACAGAAGTCAAACAAGAATGTCAAAATGTTCACCACCAGATAATATTCATAAACGCACACTTTCCCCCATTAAATATTGTCTCTTCCATGTTAATCTCCAGCCAGTGTTAAAGAAACACAGTGATAGATCATTTTATTTTCTTAGAAAAAAATGTTAATGTCACCGTCATCTGTGGAATATTACACAGTCGTTAAAAATATGGCTTTTGAAACAAACAGATGATAACGTTAAGAAATGTCTCCTGATTAATTAAATTTAAAAATATACAAAATGGCACACATAGTCTACAAAATTCATGACCAATACCCCTCAAACTGTCAAGATCATCAAAAACAAGAAACATCTGAGAAAATGTCACAGTCAAGAGGAGGCTAAATGAAACAGTATCCTGGATGGAATCCTGGAACAGAAAAAGACACCAAGTGAAAGAGCATGCAAACATTTATTTCTATGCAAGTTTCTAAGTGTCTGAACGTTTAACAGAGTCCTGAATTTTCATACAATGTCTCCTTAAAGTTGTATAATTTGAAATATCACATGTTGAAGTCTTTCAGAAAAACACATTCGAGGTCTGTTTAAAGGTATGCAAAGGAGCTTCTATTTTCTGCTATATTTTAATGCAGAATTTGACCACCACCCCCTCCCCACCACCACCACCCAGTGCTGACTGGCTCCCTGGGCAGACAGAGCATGTGCTCAAGATGCTAGCATAGCAGGGCATAGAACCATTTCTTTGAAAGAAGACGATGTTTGATATTTACCAAACTTACTATGGTGAGGTGCTATTTAGATTGCGAAATAGTTTGAACCACATGGAATTGCCAATATTTGATTGGGTCTGACCTGAAAAAGAAAAACGTAACTTCATATGGTTCAATCTACTGCCTTTAAGGAATGGGCAGCCTTATCTGTCTTTTGCTGGGACATTTAAAGTGTCCAACCCAGGCTCTTAACAGGCAGGCTCTTAATATGAGAGCCCAACACTGTAAAATGTCTGCAGGGTGTCTGTTGCTACCCCCTCCTCTCATCTCACCCAATCCCTGCCTCCCACCCTGACACAAGGAACCTAACTCTGGCTATACCTGGAGGCCAGCGCAAACCTGGTGACCTTTCTAACTCATCAAGAACCCAAGCAAAGGCCAAACAGGTTTTGTGGAAAGATTTTTGAAAAGAAGGAAAATCTCCATCCTCAGGGGACTCTCTAGGACCGGAGTTCTGTTGTGGGACCAGGTCCTACGACTTGGCATGACATTTCCCGAGGGAGCTGAGAGTTTGAGGAGACAGTGAGGAAACACTGGGAGTGAGGGTCTGGAAAAAGTATTTAGTTTGTTAAAAAAGCTCCCGCGCCCTGCAGTTGACCTGCATTGCAGAGTCCTTAGTAATAAGGCAGTATTTTATCCCTGCTTCCTCCCTCTCTCTTCTCCCTCTTCCCCCTCCTTCCAACTCCTGATTTTTTTTTCTTTCTTACTTTTTTTTTTTCCTGGAGTAGCAGCCGCAGAGCATGGGGTGAAAAGTCTCTGGAAGGACAAGTTGACAGATAGCATTTGGGTCGCTGGGTCACTGAAAGGCGTCGTGATCTGGGCTCAGACGGAGCGATTTCCTCGGTGATTTTAATCTTTCGTCTGTTCACACGTCATGCCACCTGGACATAATGCAGAGAAATCTGGAGGTTTAACAAACCCTTCCGCTTGCCCCAAGAGCTCCCTTGAAAAAAAAAAAAGGAGGGGGGGTGGTAGGAAAGAGAGAGTTAACTCTCTCCCTGCCTTCCCCATCAAGAGCAGAAAACCTAGAAGTGGAAGAGACCTCCCTGGCAATTAATAAGCTCAGGGCTTTGTCTGAGTAAGGAAGCCTTCATCTTTATGGAGACTGTAAATAATAGAATAAGCTGCCCCTTTTACTGCCTTAGACACATATAAGTGGCAGCTTTATCCTTTTTCGTTGACCCTCTGTCCAGGTTTTGATTTACTTTCAAATCTCTTGTCGTAGATTCTTGGAAAATATTTATTTTGGTGGTTGGCGGTGGGGGTGGGGTGGAGGGTGCAGGCAGTGGGAGAAAGGATGGAGAGAAAGAGAGAGATCCATGAAGGGGAATATTAATATCTTTCTTGTGACTGTGGCCAGACAGTCTGCTTTTCATATTCCCCCATAAGGTTCTGAGCTATTTCTGACCAAGGGTGTTAAAGCAGAGAATTAATGGATTTCAGCAAAGTAGATGCTGACGTTCCAGAGAAATGTTTCTGCTTAACTTGTTGGAAATGTATCTCAGGTCATGCTTGACAGAGGTGGGGAGAGAAAAAGTAGCCAAGGGCCTGCCAAGAAGATGCTCCTTCAGGTTTCTTCCCTCTGGACAAATGGTGGAAAGAGACAAAGACCCCAGCTTCGTTGTTTTTTCCACAGAATGTGCATCATACTTCTGTGAAAGCACTTAATCAAACTTTATCATGGTTATCTGCTCAAATGTCACCACCAGACTAGAAACTCCACAGGAGCAGTGACTGCATCCTTCGAATCTAAGTGCCTGAAATAGAGTGGTTTAATTATTTGATGATTTATTTATCAAACATTGTCAGTCCTTACTAGTGCCAGGTAGAGAGCTAGTGAATCAGGATACAGTGAAAAATAAGAAAGGGTCCCTTTTCTCAAGTTACTCAAAATCTGGAAGGGTAGGGAGACAGATATACAAAGATAACATTTGTAGTAAAATATTACAGATGATGCCCTGAATGTATAGGATTTGATGAGTGAAAGAATTAAGGAGAGGTCCATTCTACTGGGAAGGGAAAGGGAGAATCAATAACTATGTATAAAATAGATGAAAAACAAATTTCTTCTCTATAACACAGGGAACTGTATTCAACATCTTGTAGTAACCTATAATGAAAAAGAATATGAAAATGAATATATGTACGTATATGTATGATTGACATGTTACGCTGCACACCAGAAATTGACACCTTGTAACTGACTATACTTTAATAAAAAAAGAAAAAAGACATCACATATGAAATGACTGTAGAGGTAAACACCAGGAGACATGCAGGCCAGTTAAGACACTATCTCAACACCCTTTGGGAGAAATACTGGGGTCTGATATAAGGACACTACTAGGGGGCAGAAAGGAGGAGACAACATTAAGAGATAAGAGGAGGTGATTCTACAAAACTCAGTGACCACCAAGATGAAGTATCAGAAAGGAAGCGGAGAGGATGACCTCTAGGTGTCTGGCACTAGCGCTTGGGTCATTAATACCACGGTTTTCCAATGTAAGAGAGAAAGGAGGTCACGATGCCCCAGTCACCTAGAGGCCATAATATTATGACAGTGTTTGCTAATCTCAATAACCAGTTTAACTGTGTTTGTTTGCTCAGATGATCCCAGTTGCCTTGGCTTCCAGTAGACACAGCTTGCCTTGTTGCCATGAACCTTGGAACAACACCATTTACTTGTGCCAAAGTACAATGGAAACATCATAGGCAGGGAAGCTGGAAACCTGGATTGAGTTCTGGCTCTGAAACTCTCGAGTCTCCACTTACTCCCTTTTACACGGGGGCTGAAAGCTACTTCCCTGCCTACTTCATTAGCGTTCAGTGAGATTATGCGTCTAAAAGCCCCATAAACATAGGAAACAAGACAGAACAAATCCACAAGCCCTTCTCACCCGGGAATTTGGAGGCGTACTTTGGCCTTTTAACCAGACTTGAGGTCACTGATAGGAAACTGATGAAAATTAAAATCATGCACTGCCTCACAGTTAGCAGGTCTGACTTATGAGGATGAAACGTCTCTGAAAAGGATACTTGCCAAGTGGCACTTGCTCAAAGGAAAAGATTCTGTCAGATCTGCCCAGCGTGGGCTCCAGATTGCTGACTTTCTAGAAGCCCGTATATCAGGGGAAAACTCCAACTGATCCCGCAGTCTAGTGACCCTAACTGGCACAGGTGGTAGCCCTCAGTCTTGGCCAAGTTCCCGTCTGGGTAATTCCATTAGGCTGACCACCATCTTCACTTCACCTTCGTTGGGAACACTGTCCTTTCCTTCCTGTCTTGGAAATTACCACCGGCAGGAGAGTATCTGTTGATATTTTGCATGTGCAGAGTGGAAGTTCCCTGCCTTGTGATGAGGACATTTTTCTTGTGAGACCAACTTCCAGGTAGCTTATTCTTAGAATTTAGCCCTGAGACCTTTTCTCACCAACCAGTTAAATTAGACAGTGATACACTGTGAGAGCTATTTGGAAAGTCTTGGTCATTGGCAAAGGATTGCTGGTGATCAGGAAGATAATGTAGATGTGTGAAGTGGTCTGTGGGGTCTAAAAAAGAAATGAGAGTGACGAGGACTGGAGAGTGCATTTGACAGCGAAACTCAGCCACATTTTAAAAAAGGAACCATTGTACACAAGAGCTCCTTTTTCTTCACATTCTCGCTAACATTTGTAATCTCTTGTCTTTTTGATAATAGCCATTCTAGCAAGTCTGAGATGACATCAGATTTTGATTTGCATTTCCCTGAAGATGAGCAAAGTTGAGCCTCTTTTCATGAACCTGTTGAACATTTGTAAGTTTTTTTTGGAAAAAAATATCTATTCAGATCCTCTGTGCCTTTTAAAAAAGATTTTTTTTTTTGCTAATGAGTTATATGAGTTTTCTATATATTTTGAATATTAACCCCTTATCCTATAGATGGTTTGTAAATATATTCTCCCTTTCCATAGATTGCCTTTTCATTTTGCTGATTGTTCCTTTTGCTGTGCTGGAGGTTCCTCAAAAATTCAGAAATAGAACTACCATACAATCCAGTAATCCTACTTCTGGGTATATAGTCAAAAAAATGAAATCAGGATCTCAAAAAGATAACTGAACTCCCATATTTATTGAAGCATTATTCACAATAGCCAAGATATGGAAACGACTTAAGTATCTGAATATAGATGAACGGATAAAGAGGTGTGTGTGTGTGTGTGTGTGTATGTGTGTGCACGTGTGTATGTATATATACATATACATATATATATACATACACACATACATATATATATATAAAGTGAAATATTATTCAGCCATAAGAAAGAAGGGAATCTTGTCATTAGTGACAACATGGTTAGATCTTAGGGGCATTATGTTAAATAAGTCAGACAGAGAAAGACAAATATTGTGTGATCTCACTTACGCATGGAGTCTAAATGAGCTGAACTCACAGAAGCAGAGAGTAGAATGGTGGTTACCAGAGGCTGGAAGGGATGGGAAAATAGGGGGATATTGGTCACAGGGTACCAATTTCCAGCTATAAAATGAATAAGTCCTGGAGATCTAATGTACAGCATGATGACTATAATTAATAACACTGGATTATATAATACTTTAAAGTTACTAAGAGAGTAAATCTTAAATCTTCTTACCACCAAAAAGAAAAAAAAGAAAGCAATCATGTGAGGGGATGGTGGTGTTAACTAACCCTATTGTGATAATCATTTGATTACATATATGTATCAAATCATCACTTTGTACACCTTAAATTTACGAAATGTTGTATGTCAAATGTATCTCAAAACAATTTGGAAAGAAAAGCAAAACTTGGTGTAGTCTAAACAAAACTAATTTGTGAGTCTAATTTAGCTTGTAGGTCACCAGTTTCTAATCCCTAATCTTAAACTCTTAAAACTTATTGAAGATTTAACTAAACTAAAAGTAAGTAAATAACTGAGGCATAGGGGGCTGTGATCATTACAGCCAGCTGAAGTCAAATTTGAATTATTGTCTGGCCGTCCGTCTCTCAGTCTGAGGCCATCCTTCCATTCCAGGTTGCTTTCTCTTCCAATCTTTAGAAAGTCTCATTCCCCTTTCATGGTTTCTTGGCTCTCCTAATATTCTTCTCTCCCATCCCTTTTGTGAGAGATGTATTTGTGGTTCAGCAGAAACAACACTGGGATTTTGAATCAACAGGTATGGGTCCAGTCCTGGTTCTTCCCCACAAGTAGCTGATCCGTCTGGACCAGATTCCAAACTTGCGAGTTTCCTCATCAGTGGGTACTGGAGATGGCTCATCTCATTCGTTCAGTTCAAAATTTTAATGACATTCAATTTTTTAAAAAATTTGCTGTCCAAATGTTTGTGCAGTAGGCCCATTCGAGGATACTGTTTATCTGAAGACCAGCATTAGCACCTTCACTTTATTAAACTAATGACATTTTCTGTTGTTGAGCCCCCTCCCAGCAAAAAATGCCATCCATTATGCAATCGGTATCCATTGGAAAATCGGACTCTTATAAATCTAATTAGCCCCAATTAGAATAATTTCCAAAAAATTAACAGTATAAATAATTGTTTAGGGGACAACTGGGTTTAGACAGATTTAAATTAAACACTTACTCTATCATTTTAAATCTTTGTGACATTGGATGATTTCTAAGGCTTAGTTTCCCTATTTGTAAATTGGAAAAATAACTACTTCATCAGCATGATATTAAATGAGGGTGCACGCAAGGCACCTGGCGTATAGGAAATGCTGAAGTAAGAGCAATTTATATTCTGTATTCAAGTCTCTCCGCTAATACTCTTCCTTCCTTCCCTACCATAGTCTTATATGACCGAAACACAGATTTGCTCTAAAGGTTCCAAAGTCTTTGTTCATAGAAAGATTTCACAA